ACAAAGAAAACTATAAAAAACTAACTCAAGAAACCATAAGAGATCTACATAAATGGAAGAACATCCCATGCTCGTGAATAGGAAGATTGAACATTGTGAAAATGTCAATTCTACCCAAAGCAATCTATACATTCAATGCAATCCCAATCCAGACCCATCAACACTTTTTAAGCATATGGAAAAACCAATCACTAACTTTATATGGAAAACAGAGACCTCACATACACAAAGCACTACTGAAGAAGAAGAACAAAGTAGGAGGTCTCACACTGCCGGATCTCAAAACCTACCATACAGCCACAGTAGTCAAAACCGCCTGGTATTAGTGCAACAATAACACACAGACCAATGGAACAGAACTGAGAACCCAGAAATAGAACCATCGAACTATGGTCAGCTGATCTTTGACAAAGGGCCGAAATCCATTAAATGGGGAAGAGAATGTTTGTTTAATAAATGCTGCTGGCAAAACTGGATATCCATTTGCAGAAAAATGAAACAAGATCTGTACCTCACACCATACACAAAAGGGCTGTTTATGCACACGGAGACAGCTCAGGAGGCTGAAAGAATGGACACAGAAAGAGGTAACTATCAGGAGGAAGTGGGGTAGGGGGAGCTAGCTATTGGATTGTGGTAAATTGTAGTTAATGTCATAAGACAAAGTGTATGTGAACTGCTATATGGAAAGTGAATGTGCTCTGTAAATTTTCACCCAAATCACAATTAAAAAAAAATAATAATAAAGTAATTTCATTTGGACTTTCTAAAGTTAAGTCATGGAAAACACATCATTCCAGATTCTAAATCAGGCTTCATTTTCCACAAAATAGCTCTTTCTACCATCTCTACTACAGCAAGGTACCAAAAAAAAACCCCAAATTTACTGTCATTAAGTTGATTCAACTCAGAGCAGCCCCTCCTTGGGTTTCCGAGGCAGTATTTCTACGGAAGTAGACTGCCCAATCTTCCTTCTGGGGAATGGCTGGTGAGTTTGAACCATCAGCCTTCTGGTTAGCAGTCAAATGCCTTAGGCACTATGCAACAAGAGCTCCCTTGTAGCAAGGTAGTAGGTAACATTCTAACTTCAAAATGTTTAATGGATTTAATCTGGAGAAACAGACTGACGTCTGAGAAAATGGTCTAGCTCTATTTTGTAGAAAATAATCTTTCACTGGTTTACAAATGACCTGATACAACTCTTTTCACTCTTCTGATAAACCAGTTTTTTTAAGCAGAAGTCATTAATTGCTCATCTGTTTTGAGAAATGCCAATATTTTTAACTTCCAGAAATAAAGCTCATGTAATTGATTCCATTTTTCTCTTCTTTTGATATATATATATATATATCTATCTCAGAGTCCCATAAAATAAAAAGTGAGATATAAGTGGCTACCATGAATTACTACTAAACTGATGCTCTACATAAGATACATGGTGAACCTGAGTTCTCATATACATTTTTTGATTAATGGTTTCTCCTTACAATTGTATAGTAAATAAAATGATTCCATAATTTATTAAAATACCAATATAAATAGCCACATACCCGGAATGCTCTATTCTTCTCCTCCTTCTGCTGTTTCTCCACTTCAACGTGGCGGGCTAGACGAGCCAGAGTTAAGGCAACTTTATCTTGCTGATGTTCAATATAATCTTTACGTTTAACATTCTCCTATAATTACAGGAAAGAACAAGTTTCATTCCTTTAAACTAACAAACTTGAATTAGGATAACATATATCCATTTACTAAACCAAACCAACCCCAAACCTACTGCCATCAAGTTGATTCAGACTCATAGCAATCCCATTGGGTTTCCAGGGCAGTAAATTTTTATGGAGGTAGATTGCCCCACCTTCCTTCCATGGAGCAGCTGGTGGGTTTGAACCACAAATCTTCTGGTTAGTGGTCAAATGCCTTAGGCACTGCACCACCAGAGCTCCTTATTTACCACACAGCTGTACGAATAAACAAAACATATACTTCTATCATCATCAATGTTCTGACAACCTTTTCTGTGTATGTTATATCTTATGTGATATTTTGCAGCTTAGTTAATTTTCCAACAGCATCTCTGGCTTTTCAAATGCTAGATAAACTGGCTACTAAAACAGCTATCATGTTTATTCTTTTTATAATCATCTGGATGTTGAATTTTGGTTGCTTTGCTCTCAGACAATAAGATAAGTCATCAAGCCTTAAGACTGCCCTCCAAAAGGTCTACTAATACAAACACCAGTGCTAGAGCAGCAGTAAGGAGACAATTAAGGAAACAACTGATGAAAAAGAATGGAACTTGACTCTATCAGAAGGATCAGGTTACTAACTAAAATCTCACTCCTTAAGCAAATCAATCATATATGTACAACCCAAATTTCATCTAAAGTGGAAAACAGTTGCAACAGCCCAAATAGCAGATATGATGTTCCAAAGTAGAAGACAGAAGTTACAAAGAAGTGAGCATAAACAAAATGGCCAAACTGGTATTTTCTGTAAGTGGCTACACCTTTGCAGTAAAGAATGCTCACACAGGATCACTTTGGGTGGAAGTAATCTTGGCTCACTTTCAGACCACTTTGCTAGCCTATGCCACCTATACCAGGTAGTAAGTGACATTTAACTACAAAATGTAATTTTATAAGCCATGGCACAATGAAGATTATAAAATTCAAGAAAAGTTAGTTATCTAATCTGTGATCCTTTAGTAGAGACAAATTTATCTTTCTGTCTTAAAAGAAAATTATATGTACTCCTTGGGAAGACAAAAAATTATTATCCCTTTATTTAAAAGGTAGGTACTACTGTGGTGCAGTGAATTAATTGGTATGGCTTTTCTAGCCAGAGTCTTTGTAACTCCCACCGGATTACTAGGTGGGACCATGCAAATAAGGTGTGTAGAACTCTGATGCTGGGATTGGTTAGTTTTGTCACTCTGCTAGGGTTAAAAGGAGACCTCCTAGAGGCAGAGGGGGTTCTAACTGCCGAAAAGAGAGAAGAACTAGAGGTGAAGTAGGGTGCATCCTTGGATCCAAGATCCCTGTACTGGTCCTCCATGGCAAAGAGTTGCCCCGGCAGAGAGACAAGGACAGTTGCAGTAGAACCAAGAGGCATGAGACAGAGTGGCAGGCTTACCTGACCCACAGAGCAAGAAAGCTGAGTGCCCCTGGACAGGAGGCTTGCTGATGGAGTGGGGTGTACCTATGTGTACCTATCAGCAGAGTTAAGAGTTTTCTAACATTTGCCCAAGCAGGGCAGAGGCCAGGCTGAGACATCAAGGCCCAGAGAGGCCGGTCTGAGGGCAAAGCAGAGGGGAGACTATCCTGATAGAAGGACTGTATCCTGAGTATGTTCTTGAACTTGAATTGTAGCCTGTTACTTCCCTAATAAAGCCCATAATCGTGAGTATAGTCTGTGAGTTCTGTGTGGCCAATGCAATGAATTATTGAACCCAGCAGAGAAGTAATGAGTGCTGTGGAAGGGACGGTTGGTGTCAGAATTGGTAAAAAGCTGGAGGGTAGCAGTATGTCTGGCCTCATAGGATTAAGCCTTGAACTGCTAATGGTGATTCTGTTTTGCTTTTGTGAAGTTAGAGGAGGTCAGAGGATGCCAAATCCATGCCCTTTTCAAAACTACCCAGAGAAGGAATTTAGAGTAAATCTAAAAAGAATTTTAAATTTGAAGAAGTTAGTAAGATTTTAAACATGGGACTAGAATATATTAGGTTCCCTGACAGAGATAATGTAGTTAAGGTTTTAAACTCTAGCAAAAAATCAGTGCTTGGATGACCAGGTAAACCAAGACCATGTAAATAGAGGGACATATAAGTAGAGGACAAAGTATAAATTAGGGCTTATTTATTTAAAAAAAAAAAAAAGTAAAGACTAAACAAAACATGAAATCAAAAACAGAAAAACAACAGAATCCACAAAACCAGAAGTTGATTCTTTGAAAAGATCGGTAAAATTGACAAACTTTTATCTAGACTTAACAAAGAGAAAAAAGCCAAGTAAAATAAGAAACATGAGAGGAAATGTTACAATTGAACTAATAGGAGTAAAGAGAATTATTCCAGAATCTTATGAACAACTGTACTGCAAAAAACTGGATAACCTAGATGAAATGGACAAATTCTTAGAAGTACACAACCTACTTAAATTGACTCAAGAGGAAATAGAAATTTTTAACAGATCCATAATAAGTAAAGAGATTGAATCAGTGATCAAAAACCTCCCAACAAAAATATCCTGGACCAGATGGCTTCACTAGGGGATTCTACCAACTATTTAAAGAACTGACAACCATCTTGTTTCAACTTTTCCAAAAAACACAGAGAAGAAAAGAATATTCCCTGATTTAGTCTGTGAAACAAACATAATCCTGATAACAAAACCAGATAAAGACATAATAAAAGAAAAATACATGAATACATGTAAAACTTTTCAACAAAATACTAGTGCACATAATCCAACAGCATATGGAAAGGGTCATACACCATGACCAAGTGGGATTTTTCTAGAAATACAAGGATACTGCAACATTAGAAAATCAATCAGCGTAATACACTCCATCGATAGAACAAAGAGAAAGAACATCAGGATCATCTCTATGGATGTAGAAAAACAATTTGGTAAATCCAACACCCTTTCTTGATGAAAGCCCTCAGTGGATTAGAAGGGAAGTTCCTCAATGTGATTCAGGGCATATATGGGAAACCAATAGACAACATGATACTTAACTGGGCAAAGAGTAAAAGCTTTCCCCTTGAAATCAGAAATAAGAAGGATGCCTGCTCTCACCACTTCTGTTCGATATTGTAATGGAAGTCCTAGTAAGAGTAATGTTGTCATTAGGTGCCGTCCAGTCGGCTCCAACTCAGAGACCCTATGTGCAACAGAACAAACACTGCCTGGTTGTGCACCATCCACACAATCCTTGCTATATTTGAGCCCATCATTGCAGCCACTATGTCAATCCATCTCATTGAGGGTCTTGCCCTTTTTTACTGACCCTCCTCTTCACCCAGCATGATATTCTTCTCCAGGAAATGGTCCCTTCTGGGTGCACTTCTTCCAGGACAGATTTGTTATTCTGGCAGCCCATGGTACTTTCGGTATTCTTCACCAACATGTGATTCAAAGCCATCAACTCTTCTTTGGTCTTTCTTATTCACTGTCTAGCTTACACATGCATATGAGGCTAGCTAAAACACCATGGCTTGGGTCAGGCGCACCTTAGTTTTCAAAATGACATCTTTCCTTCTTAACAAGTTAAAGAGATCTTTTGCAGCAGCTATGCCCTGGTAGCATAGTGCCTAAGACACTTGACTGCTAACCAGAAGCCTGGAGGTTCAAACCCACCAGCCACTCCTCAGAAGGAAGGTTGGATAATCTACTTCGGTAGTGATACCGCCTCAGAAACCCAAGGAGGCGTCGCTATCAGTCGGGTCTGACTCGACAGCACATAACAACAACAAATGCCCAACGCAATATGATGTTTGATTTCCTGACTGCTGTTTCCATGGGTGTTGACTGTGGAACCAAGTAAACTGAAATCCTTGATAACTTTAATCTTTCCTGTATTTATGATGATGTTGCTTATTGGTCCAGTTGTGAGGATTTTTCATTTATGTTAAGGTGTAATCTATACTGAAGACTGTACTCTGTGATCTTCATCTTCTTAAGTGCTTCAAGTCATCTTCACTTTCAGCAAGGTTGTTGTCATCTGCATATCGCTGGCTGTTAATGATTCTTTCTCCAATCCCGATGCCACATTCTTCTTCATACAGGCCAGCTTCTTGGATTATTTGTTCAGCATACAGAATGAGTAAGTATGGTGAAAGGATACAACCCTGACATACATCCTTCCTGATTTTAAACCATATAGTATGCCCTTGTTCTATTTGAATGACAGCCTCTTGATCTATATACAGGTTCCTCATGAGCACAATTAAGTGTTCTGGAATTCCCATTCTTAACAATATTATCCATAATTTGTTAAGATCCCTGCAGTTGAATGTTTTTGCATAGTCACTAAAACAGAGGTAAGCACCTTTCTGGTAGTCTCTGCTTTCAGCTAAGATCCATCAGGCATCAGCAATGATATCCTTCATTCCATGTCCTCTTCTGAATTCAGTTTGTATTTCTGTTAAGCTCCCTGTCAATACACTGCTGAAAACGCCGTTAAATTATATCAGGAAGATTTTATTTGCATGTGATATTAATTATACTGTTCCTTAATTTCCACATTCTGTTGGATCACCTTTGGAATGGCACAAATCATCTAGTCAGAGCAATAAACCAAAAAACCAAACCCACTGCCATCGAGTCAATTCCAACTCATAGTGACCCCCATTGAGTTTCCAAGGTGGTAAATCTTTACTTCTATAAAGATTTACAGAAGGAAACCAAACTGTCTTCCTTCCATGGAGTGGCTGGTGGGTTTGAACAGCCAGCCTCCTGGTTAACAGTCAAATTCTGCAGTGTAGTAAATTACTTAGTGTGGCTTTTCTACCCATAAGTCTTTGTAAACCCCAAGGTGGGATTTTCTATGAGCAACTGAGGAGCTCCTGATTGCTG